TAACTTCCATTACCAGTCTTTTCCCTAAAAACTGCGTGTTTAAGCTGTAGGGTTGCCCCTTCAACATCGGGGCCGTTAGGTGCACTGGCCCAGGCGCAGTCCAGCCTTCACAAAATCATAAGGAAGAGAAAACACATTTACAATACCGCATGTACATTTATTGTAAAAACAGACAAATCAACATAAAACCTTCATGTATAGGTGCTCCAAAGTGTGGTCATTGCTCTTCTTGGGTGGCCTTCCCTCGCCTGGAGGCTTGGGCGCCGCAGCCATTGCACTGGCCAGCAGGTGCACCGCCGCGCCACTGGGACAGTTGTAGCCACTGTGCGAGAGCCACCTCGGAAGGCTGCGGGGTTGGACGCCCACTTGGGGAGGAGTCCATGACTAACCCGAGGGGGCGCCTGGGCTTGGGCTCCTCTGCCGCCCCAAGGCTACGGGCTGGGCCTGGGATCCTGGCCCAGCGCGGTCCCTGCGGTCTAAACAAGTCCTCTGCCTCAGCCCAGCCTCTGTTTGCTAGTCCCCAGCCTGGGCAGGACCACCTGGTGAGTACACGCAGAGACTTGCTGTCCTGCCCCATCCCGGGGCTCTGGGGGCTGCCAAGGTACTCAGAGGGCAGCAGGCGACCCATGGAGACTGGGTTATGCAGTTGTCAATAAATGCCTTGAGGCTTTTGCTTGACAGCAAAAGCTGTCAACTCTTAAAAATAAAAAAAGTGGCACATGGGTGGACTCCTACAGTTCAAACCCATGTTACACAAGGATCAACATTTTAATTTAGTCCCATTGTATCTGCTTTTATTAGGGGGTGGCGGTAAGAAACATAGGTTGTAGTCATAATACAAGTATTTGTTTCCTCTTCCCAACACATATTTAGGCAACCATGGGCATATCCAGTGAGCTAAGCCTTGTAGAAATACTGTGTAAAGTGTTAATCAGAGCACTGTATGCAGGACGGTAGGTGAGCAGCAGGAGGGCACTATCAGGTGGTGTAAGCCTCATTAGTGAGTGCCTTTGTTGTTGCTTGGTGGATAAAAATCACTAAATATTGTGAAGACAGCAAATATGAAGTAATTTGGAGGAATGTTTAATTCCAGCTTGTCCTCAGAGCTCTATAGAACTGGCTTGTTAGGAATTTCTTAGTAATAAATATAGATTGTAACAAACTAATGTTCTGTGCTTCCTGAGGAGGTACCACAAGAAGACCTGTGTGGTCTTGCCAAACAGAATTACCCTAAATCTAATCAGGAGAAAATTATCAGATAAATTCAACCTGCCAGACATTTTACAAAACATCACCCCAGACCCTGCAAAACTGTGTCAAATAATTTTTAAAAAGTGGAGGTGGGAGTGTAGGCAGAGAAACCATTCTACATTCAACAGACTAGAGAGTAATCACAATCAAATGCAAGAAACTTGATTGGATTTTTAATCCCATTTTAAGGACATTATTGGAACAATTGAATAATTTTGAACATATCCTGCATGTTAGATAACACCACCTAATATTTAATAATAATATTAAAGTTATTTTTTTAAAAATATTTTATTTATTCATGAGAGACACAGACTGAGAGAGAGAGGCAGAGACACAGGCAGAGGGAGAAGCAGGCTCCATGAGCCCAACGCGGGACTCAATCCCGGGACTCCAGGATCATGCCCTGGGCCAAAGGGACATGCCAAACTGCTCAGCCACTTATTAAGGTTCTTAAGAGTAAAGATGGCATTATGGTTGCGAAGGAGAATGTCCCTTTCCTTAGATGTTGATTACTAAAGTATTCAGTAATATTCATAATTTCTAATTTTCCTTCAATCGAGTAAGAAATACAATCTTGACAATTAGTGAATCTAGGTAAAGGACACACAAGTTAAACATAAAAGTGTTTAACTTTTCTGTAGTTTTGAAATCTTTTAAAACAAAAATTTTGGGGAAATTTATGGAAAACAATTTTGAGAAAGATAGTAAAATAATACCTGTGAGAGCAATTTCATTTTAGCTGAGCTTTCAACATCTGGTGCTTTTCTTAATGATTAGAATGTATTGCTATTTCAAAAACTACCTATTTTTTCTTTTTCAAGATTTATTTATATATTTATTTGAGAGAGAGAGAGAGAGAGAGTGAGTGTGTGTGTGTGTGTGTGTGTGCACAAGTAGAGGTAGGGGCAGAGGAACAGAGAGAATCCTCAAGCAGACTCCCTGCTGAGCATGGACTACCCCCCCCCCCCCGCCATGCAGGTTTTGATCCCAGGACTCTGAGATCACTACCTGAGCAGAAATCAAGAGTCAGCCACCTAACCAACTGAGCCACCCAGGTGCCCCCAAAACTACCATTTTTCTTACAGATCTTCAAATACATTTTTGTGCTCTATCTGAATGAATATTTGCTCACCTATAAATAAAATTAAGAAAATAAGCCTCTCCCCTGAAAAAGGTATGGTAGGCATTTATTTTTTATTTTATCATCATATTTTTTTTAATTTTTTTTATTTATTTATGATAGTCACACACACAGAGAGAGAGAGGCAGAGACATAAGCAGGCTCCATGCACCAGGAGCCCGACGTGGGACTCGATCCCAGGTCTCCAGGATCGCACCCTGGGCCAAAGGCAGGTGCTAAACCGCTGCGCCACCCAGGGTTCCCTCATCATATTTTTTATACCACTGCTTTCTCTACTAAGTCAGGGTCAACAAACTACAGACCAAAAGTGGCCCAGTGTCTGTTTTTGTGTGGCAAGAACAAGAAACTATTTTATATTTTTTAATTGTTGAAAAATCAGAATAATAAAAGTTTGTGACATGAAAATTACAGACTTTCACATTTCAATGTCTATAAATAGTTTTATTAGAACACATTCATTTACTTACATATTATCTATGGCTGCATTTGCCTTACAATGGTAGAATCCTAATTAAGCAAATGCTATTCCTCAATTTTTTAAAAAAGTTTTATTTATTCATTCATGAGAAACAGAGAGAGAAAGAGAGAGAGGCAGAGACACAGGCAGAGGGACAAGCAGGCTCCATGCAGGAAGCCCAATTTGGGATTCAGTCCTGGGACTCCAGGATCACGCCCTGAGCCAAAGGCAGACACTCAACCACTGAGCCACCCAGGCATCCCCCCTCAATTTTTTTATTTTTCCCATTAGAAGACCTGTATTACAAAAAAATGTATTATTATATACCTTTAAAAATAGTTTTTTAAATTAAATTTCTAATCAAATACTATAATAATTTATTTTCTTTCATTAAAAAATTAAGTGTTTATAACATTATCAGTTTGGGAAGACATAGATTAAAAGTGGGGCAAAGTGATCAAAAGACAAATTTATAGACAATAAATATAGCCTGCCCGGCCCTGGTGGCTGCTGCCAGAGTGCTAATTCTAATCCTCAGAGTTAGTAGTAGTTCAAAATCTCCTCCAGCTTCACATTTCCCAGGGAGAGATTTTGGTGAGTTCAGAGAAGACCTTGTGAGAATATTTGGAATGCACAGTCTTGAGCCTACTGCAAAGATGCAAAAACAGCGGGATATTCAACTGCTTGCCCACGGGTGAAGATCAGAGGTCTTGTAGCCACTGTAATACTCCAGGGTAGGAGCCCAGTGTCTGAACTTCATGCAGAGGGCCGGGGGAAGGAGTCAGAGCTAGCTTGGAAGCCCTTTCCTGGATATATTCTAAGCTCTGCAGTCATCTCAGGGATGAAGTGGGACAAGGTCAATGTCTTCATGCTGCATGGAGATATCTAGCATATCTGCACAGGAAATGATAGGCCATGGGGATGTTGATAACAAATTTGAGGTTTGCAGGTTGCTGACTTCCATGCTGAGCATCTCATATTGCTGGTAAATGTCATCTAAAAATCTAATTTGATCCTCTTCAATTTAATTTCCCCACTTTACTATACTATTTAAAATCAGGAAAGCATTATTTCTAAATTATGACTTACCTTTTTTTTTTAAAGATTTTATTTATTTATTCATAAGAGGCACACAGAGAGGCGGAGACACAGGCAGAGGGAGAAGACTCCATGCAGGGAGTCTGATATGGAACTTGATCCCTGGACTCCAGGATTTCACCCTGGGTGGAAGGCAGGCACTAAACCCCTGAGCCACCCAGGGATCCCGTTGACTAAGCTTCCCTGTCATTTTATGAGTTTGTCAAATAACTGAACAGGTGAACTTAAGTATAGAGAACTAAGATGATGGTGTTGCCTACATACATTTTAAGATCAAAAGAAGATGATCTTGCATGAAATACTGGCCATTTCAGACAGTGAAAAAAGTGTGTACAGAAAGTTGCTCCTAATCACAAAATTTCTGGTGAAAATTAACCAGATTAGGAAACATCTACAAGACTGAGTAACTCGGATGTTTCCCTGTGTTTCAGGGGTAGAAAAGTGTGTGATTTTAAGAATTAAAATCACGATTCTGGCCTTCACTTGGCTCAGAGGCTGACTTTAAACTTCAATTCCAAAAGAAGTTCTGGCTCTTGCTTCCAGTAGGCACAAGGGCTGGGGGTGGGGGGGGTGGGGGCGGTTTGCAATTCATTAATAAAAGTATTTCCACCATGAAGAAACGGACAGGTTCTTTCTAGGGGATCAACGAAAGGACCAAAGCAAGTAGGGAACCTCCACCAAGGGGAAATGGTAAGAAGGGTGGAAGGGACCAAGGAGGAGCGAAGGGGGTCAAGATGGTTGAAGGCGAATAGCCAACCAGCGTAGAAGACGTGGGAAGAATAGAGGGTGTCACTGCACAGTCCTCCTGTGTTCCCGAGGGCTCAAGGCACAGATCCAAACCCTAAGACAAGAGCCGCTCGCCTCCCCCCACCCGCAGCCGCCGAGGAGCCTTCAGGGCGCGCCTTCCGCCCGCGCCTACCAACCCGCCGGAAGCGGAAGTCACAAGCGGACCGTTGCTGACGTGCCTGCGTGGGCAGGAAGGGCTGGTACTACAATCTCTGTGTGAACTGACTGGCGTTGGCCCTTCGGTACCCGGTGAAGACGTCACTCATGGCCCCGGTGTCCCGGTCCCGCTACCCCAAGGAAGCTGTGGGCTCTCGGAGGTGGCGACGCCGCTCGTCGGGGAGCCCGCCTTTGGCGCAGGCCAGACGCTCCCCGTGGGGAGGCCTTGTCCGTTCTTATTCCTGCGGCCGCGAGGCCCTCAGACCTCCGTGGGGAGGGTCGGGCGTTGGCGCCCCTTACCCGCTCGGCCGCTCTGAGTTTCGAGAACCACCGCCGGGGCCCCGCGACTATGCGTTGTCGTCGTCCTCCGTCTATTACGGCAGCGGGTACCACTACCATCACCACCACTCCCCGAGGGACCGGCAGTGGGCGGAGGAGTACCAGAAGGAGGAGGAGAGCTATCGTCAGAGGAGGCTGAAGGAGAGAGAAAGGATTGGGGAGTTGGGCGCCCCTGAGGTGTGGGGGCTGTCTCCGAAGTTTCCTGAGCTGGATTCTGATGAGCACACCCCCGTGGAGGATGACCAGGCGAAGGCTCAGAAGACCACCAGTTCAGAATCCAGCTCTGAGGGAAAGAGGAAAAAGGCCAGTCGTTCAAAAAGCAAGAAAAAGAGAAAGAAAAAGTCCAAAAAGAAACACAGGAAATATTCTAATGATAGTGATGGTAATTCAGACTCCGACATGGATTCTAGCGATGATGATAAAAAGAGAGCCAAAAAAGCCAAGAAGAAGGAGAAGAAAAAGAAACACAGGGCAAGAAAAAACAAGAAAAAGAAGAAGACTAAAAAAGAATCCAGTGACTCAAGCTTTAAAGATTCAGAAGGGGAGTTGCTGGAAGATATTTGGATTAAGCAGTCAAAGATTGCAGGTACCATGGATCTGATAGGTCCAGAAGCACCCATAATACACATGTCTCAAGAGGAGAAACCTTTGAACTATGGCCATGCTCTGCTCCCGGGTGAAGGTGCAGCAATGGCTGAGTATGTAAAAGCTGGAAAGCGAATCCCACGAAGAGGTGAAATTGGGCTGACAAGTGAAGAGATTGCTTCATTTGAATGCTCAGGTTATGTTATGAGTGGTAGCAGGCATCGTAGGATGGAGGCTGTGCGACTGCGTAAAGAGAACCAGATCTACAGTGCTGATGAGAAGAGAGCGCTTGCATCCTTTAACCAGGAAGAGAGGCGGAAGAGAGAGAATAAGATTCTAGCCAGTTTCCGAGAGATGGTGTACAGGAAGACAAAAGGGAAAGATGACAAGTAAGGACTTTTTATCTTTCAGCAGGACTTTTAACAACAATTTTATATGACCAAAATAGTATGAAAAGACTTTATGGTGCTACTATACCTACTACATTAGAAAGTCCTTCAAGAAAAAAGCTGCTGAGGCCTCTTTATTTTTGACTTAAAATGTGCACATGGTTTAGCAGATATTTAAGTACTACAGTTGGAGAGTTAATAAAAGGTCTGTCTTCCTAGTCCTAGTCATCCTAGTCCTTGTCTCTTCTCCCCAAAGAAATCTGTTTTTGATGTATTTTAGATCTATTCACAAGTTTTGTGTATATACAAGAATGTTGCAGGATAAATGTTGGAGCTATTAACGTAAACGTTATTTTCTCTGTTGCCCTGACTTTTCTCTCTCATGAAGGGTCTCATGGAGCCCTTCATTTGCCCCTAGGAGGAACAGAAGAACCCCAGAAATAACTAAGGATTCAACTCAGTGTATACTTCTGGTTGCAGTTAACTGAGTTAAAAAATAAGGGAGATTTATTGGTTCATGTAACCGAAAAGTACTGCAGGAGAATGAGTTTCCTGTGGTTTTACGGGACTTTGACTTTTTTGTTCTCCATGGGTCATTTTCCTCCTTAGCCTGGTTTCCTTTAAATAACAAAATGATCGCCAAACATCCTGAGTTTGGTTATGTACTTCTTGGTCCACTCTGAAGAGCTAAAGAATGTTTCTGTCTTGGCATTCCAAACAAGAATCCTGAGATGGATCCTAATTGGATTAGCTTAGGTCACATGTCCACTCTCAAAAAAGGTTCTATTGCCATGAAAATAGGCCTGCTCCTGGAGATGTGGGTATAGCTAATTTATAGGCTACTTGGAGAAGAAGTGGATACCCGAATGAAAATCAGGGTAATGTTAGGAAGGTGTGTAGGCACCCACTATAAGTTTGATTTCTTAAAAAACAGTACATGTGCTGAAAGACCAAATTTTCTTGATGCTTGGTTTTGACTATTAGAAAAGGAACATCTGGTTGAAGGGGACATTGGGTTTATCCATTAACATGATCTAAAAGATAAAGGTCCATGATGCTTGGGTCTTCCAAAGAGTAGATTAGAAGCCACCTTAGACTGAAAGGAGAAAGAAAATAATGAGAAGGTACAAAGAAGAATGCAGTTGGTGGACTTCAGGAAAAGATCCGATCAGGAAGAACTTCATGGACAACAAAATTAACATTGAGAGCACCAGTGTCACAGAAGACTTTAGAATGAGCTCCACTCTTGGTTTATGATAAAGTGTTCATTGTCATCTAGTGACATCTGCCTGAATCCTAAGACTTCATTTCATCACTAAGCAAACTATCTCATTTGAAAAGGGGTCACCTTTTCAGGACTCAAGACCCTACTAAGCTCCACAGAGTTGAAGGTGAAAAAGTAGGGTTCTAGAATTTCACAGGGCAGCATGATGTGGAAGGGCACCTTCATCCTATTAGATGACTTGATTGCCACTGGACCACATACCTTGAGAATTTCCCCAAAGAGTGTTGGGGAACACTGGTATAAGTCAGTGATACATATGTGTATTTCTGTCTTTAGAAACAAGCCATACCACATTACAGCATGGGCTTAGACCTTTTTTTTTTTTCACTTAATACATCTTGGAGATTTTTTTAAAGATTTTTATTTATTCATTCATGAGAGACACACACACAGAGAGAGAGGCAGATACGCAGGCAGAGGGAGAAGCAGGCTCCATGCAGGGAGCCCGACGTGGGACTCAATCCTGGGTCTCCAGGATCATGCCCTGGGGTGAAGGCGGCGCTAAACACTGAGCCACCCAGGCTGCCCTCTTGGAGATTTTTTAATCAATGCATATAAATCTACTTTATCCTTTTTTAAAAATAAATTTATTTTTTATTGGTGTTCAATTTGCCAACATATAGAATAACACCCAGTGCTCATCCTATCAAGTGCCCCCTCAGTGCCCGTCACCCAGTACTTTATTCGTTTTATTGACTTTATAACATTCTATTGAATGAAAGGACCATATTTTATTGGATGTTTAAAATGTTTTCTATATTTTATAATTACATAGTACTGAATTGAAAATCTTCGTGGATATGTGACAGCATTATCTGTAGCATCCTCATCTAGAAATAGAATTATTGGGTCCAAAAGAATCCTCAGGATCATCTAAAAATGGCCACCTCGAGGTGGAGTTCTCAGATCAAAAGGAAAATTTATTAACAGGTGCCTTTTATATGCTAGGTACTATGGCAGGTACTGGTTATAAATCAGAGAGCAAGTTAAGTTTGATACTTGCCATCACAGAATTTTATATTCTAAAGAAATTTTTTTAAAATATTTATTTATTATAGTCACACACAGAGAGAGAGAGAGAGGCAAAGACACAGGCAGAGGGAGAAGCAGGCTCCATGCACCGGGAGCCCGACGTGGGATTTGATCCCAGGTCTCCAGGATCACGCCCTGGGCCAAAGGCAGGCGCTAAACCGCTGCACCACCCAGGGATCCCAGAATTTTATATTCTACGGAGGAGACAGACCTTTAAAAACAGAAAAATATCTATTAATTGCAGCATTCTATGAAGAAAATAAGGGACCAGAGACAATAATAGGGGGATATGTTTGATAGGGTGGTCAGGAAATGCCTAAGAATGTCACATATAAGTTCTATGTGCTTTTACATTTTAATAGATACTGCAACATTTTGCAAACAAGATGTACCAGGTTACACACCTACATCACCAACAATATTGTACTTTTAAATCTTGATCTTTGCCAATCTAATAAATGAAAAATGGCATTTCATTTCTTTTTTTTTTTTTTTAAGAGAACGAGAGAGAGGTTAGGGAACAGGCAGAAGGAGAAGGAGAGACAGTCTTTTGTTTAATTTTATTTAAAATCAATTAACAGGGATACCTGGTGGCTCAGTGGTTGAGTGTCTGCCTTCGGCTCAGGACATGATCCTGGGGTTGGGGATTGAGTCCCATATTGGGCTCCTTGCAGAAGAGCCTGCTTCTTCCTCTGCCTGTGTCTTCACATCTCTTTCTCTGTGTCTCTCATGAATAAATAAAATCTCAAAAAAAAATACGCTCAATTAACATATAATGTATAATTGGTTTAAGAGGTAGAGGTCAATGATTCATCAGTCTTATACCCAGTGCTCATTACATCACATGCCCTCCCTAAATGTTCATCCCCTAGGTACCCCATCCTACTACCTCCCTCCCCTCCAGTGGTCCTCAGTTTTTTTTTTTTTTTTTAATTTTCATTTATTTATGATAGTCACACACACAGAGAGAGAAAGAGGCACACAGGCAGAGGGAGAAGCAGGCTCCATGCACCGGGAGCCCGACGTGGGATTCGATCCCGGGTCTCCAGGATCGCGCCCTGGGCCAAAGGCAGGCGCTAAACCGCTGCACCACCCAGGGATCCCTCTCAGTTTGTTTCTTATGCTTAAGGGTGTCTTATGGTTTGTCTCCCTCTCTGATTTTGTCATGTTTTTTTCCCTCTCTTCTGCTATGATCCTCTGTTTTGTTTCTTAAATTCCACATATGAGTGAGATCATATAATTGTCTTTCTCTGACTGGCTTATTTCACTTAGCATAATATTCTCTCGTTCCATCCATGGCATTGCAAATGACAAGATTTCATTTTTTTCTGATGAAAAAATAGTCCATTGTGTGTGTGTGTGTGTGTGTGTGTGTGTGTGTGTGTGTGTGTGTGTGTGGTGGACTGGTGTGAGGTGATAGCTCATAGTTTTGGTTTGTATTTCCCTGACAAGTGATATGGAGCATTTTTTCATGTGTCTGTTGGCCATTTATACGTCTTCTTTGGAGAAATGTCTGTTCATGTCTTCTGCCCATTTCTTGATTGCATTATTTGTTTCTTGGAGGTTGGGTTTGATAAGTTCTTTATAGATTTTGGATATTAACCCTTTATCTAACAAGACATTTGCAAATATCTTCTCCCATTCTCTAGGTTGCCTTTTGGTTTTGTCAACTGTTTACTTTGCTGTGCAAAAGCTTTTTATCTTGATGAAGTCCCAATAGTTCATTTCTGCCTTTGTTTCCCTGCTTTTAGAGATGTATTTAGCAAGAAGTTGCTATGGCCAAGGTCAAAGAGGTTGTTGCCTGTGTTCTACTCTAGGATTTTGATGGATTCCTGTCTCATATTAGGTCTTGCATCCATTTTGAGCCTATTTTTATGTATGGTGTGAGGAAATGGTCCAGTTTCATTCTTCTGCATGTGACTGTCCAGTTTTGAGGGAGAGACAATCTTAAGCCCCACTGAGACTCCCCACTGAGTGCACAGACCAACATGGGTCTCGATCTTATGAACCTGAGATTACAACCAGAGCCAAAATCAAGGGTTGGATGCTTAACCAAATAAGCCACTCAGACACCCCTAGGATTTTTCTTTATTAGTCTATTGATATGATGGTTTAAAGTTATAGGGTTCATAATATTAAACCATGGGTTAAGTTAATTGGACTCATTTAGTAGTTTTTTTTTTTCATTTGTAGGTTTTTGATTGTTTGGAACAATCACTGGCCAATTAATTTTCTATTTAAAATTCAGAACAATGAATAATATCTTGAGAGATGTACGGAAGCAGAGAGAAAAGCAGAAAACATCATTACAAAAAGATTAGCACTGCTATCTTATGCTATAGCATGGTAGCATGACTCACGATGCAATAGTCCCTCTATAGATCCTACAGAAGGCTTTTATTTTGAATATCTTAAGAATGGACCTGATGGAAACATATGAACCACCATTTTATTTATGAAAATAAGGATAATCCTGGAAAATGAAAAAATCTCAATTTTGAAAATTGATTTTTAAAAATTAGCGCATGTAGTCTATCCCATAAAGATAGTATTTTTATTTATTCTCATTTGTCCCTTACCCCTTCCAAAAGATATAGACTACTAAATAAGAAATGCAAACTTTGAATTTTTTAACAGTTTTTAAAACTCTGCTTTGTTAAGCTATAGTAATGGTTTTGTTTTTCATGGGATAGCCAACACACTGCCAATAATCTAAGCTGATGAATGATGTTTAAGAAGCCATCCATGGTAGGGAATTTAAAACGGGCAGTAAATGAATTAAGATATATTTACTTCCTTTTAAAATTAAATTTTGTTGGGATGCCTGGGTGGCTCAGTGGTTGAGCATCTGCCTTCAGCCCAGGGCATGATCCTGGAGTTGCAGGATTGAGTCCCACACCAGGCCCCCTGCACGTAGCCTGCTTCTCCCTCTGCGTGTGTCTCTGCCTCTCTCTCTCCGTGTCTTTCATGAATAAATAAATAAAATTAAATTTTGTTTATTCCTTATATAATTTTTGAAAAATATATAAGCCCTTCTTTAGAAAGAAAATCAGACATGAGTTTTTCATTTGAGAAAAAATGTTAGCTTCTTATTAGTAAAATACTTGCATTGATTGCATTTGTTTGCCTAGAGAAGTTTTAAGGTGAATATAATTATTATTTATAATATATATTATATTTGTTATTATTAAATTATTTAATTTAGTATTTAATTAACTTTTAAAAGATTCTTCCAAGCTTCTGGCACCCAAGAAGGAAAGGTTTTCTCCTTGTCATAATGAAACGTTTTCTCCTTTTGTTGTGATAATTTCAATGCTGAAAACACTGAATAAATTACCTGTCATAAAACAATGATTAGTATATTTAATGATTTTTCAAAACTACCATTAAACAAATTTGTTTAGATTTTTAAAAGTATTTAATTTATTGAAGAGTATAAAAACGTTTTTGGTAAGATGAACAAGAGGGAATATTTCTGTTTTCTTCTGCAGAATTATTTTGCTAAAGTGGTATCTGATGTTTTTTCCTCTGAAACCTACATTCACTGCAAAGTATTGCTAATTATACTTTTACAGTAATATACTTAAGTTTTCATTACCTTAAATCTTTCAATCCAAAGATATTTTCACTGTTCAATTTAATCAATTCTTTGCTGCTATGAAAAAAAAAAAAACCATCCCCCTACGCTGACATTTATTTTTGCCATTGTGTTTGATTTTTTAAATTGGGGAGAAATGGAAAAGTGTGTGTCTCTGTTAAATTTGTGAGTGCGCAAAGTAGAAATGCTGGCTCTTCGCGGTAACATTAAACTGAGCCGGCCTGTAACTTGAATATAATACACATTGCTTGCAGGCGAGAACCGCCGGTGCTCGCCCCTGCACGCCGCGGGTGGCGCTGCGGCCGGGCTGAGCTCCCGCCCTCCCAGCCGCGCGCCGGAACCAGGCACCATGGAGCTGCGGTCCTCTCGCCCGCCTAGAGCGGAGGCGACGGGGCGCGGGCGAGTGGGCGTTGCCGCTGGACTAGGAGCCAAGTCTGGCCATTCCTGCAGCCAGGTGCTGGGGTGCTCGGTGTGTGCGCTCTGGCGAGGAAGGCCCTGCAGCCCGGGGCTGGGGAGCCGCTGCTCCCTGGGTGCAGGGAGCCTTCTGCGACCGAGGGCCCGCGGGCCAGGGCGAGGGCCGGGCGGGGGGGTCCCGCAGCTGCGCGTCTGCTGAACTGGGCACAGCGCAGGCTTCGTCTGTGTCATCCGCTGACCGCAGTTTTCAACACATGTTGAAGGTAAGCCTTACAGGGTAGTGCCTAAGCAGAAACCTTAAGGACCTGAAAAGACCTGTGTGGCCTCTAGGGGCACGAGCTTTCAGGCATCTGAACAGCAAATTCAGAGGCCTCCAAGCCTGCTTGCCACACTCAGGAATCACAGGGGGACCGGGAGGGCAGCGAACGGGGGCCGAGCTGTAGACAACAGTATCCAGAGGCCTGGGACTGCGAGGAGCTGTGTGCAAGAGCTGTGCCGTGTACTGTTTAAGTAATTTGGTCGTTTTTTGGTGTGAAGAGTGTTTGAAGGGTTTTGAGCAGAGGAAAACCATGATCTGACTCATGTTTTAAAGCATCTGTAGCTGAGAACTACAATGAGATTAGACCATAGGGGCGCGAGGATGGAATCAGGGAAACTATCACAAGTACTTCATGTAGGAGATGAAGATATCCTGAACTTTGGTAGACGTGGTTAGTAGTGGACAGATTAATGATCTACCCGGAAACGGAGCCAGCAGGCTTCGCTGTTGGATCACACGTGGATTGTGCGAGAGAGAAGGCAAAGTCAAGTCAAGGGTTTAGAGCTCTTGAGGGAAAGATCTGAGGTTGAGCTTGGGGACCTTGTGTAAGTTGTTAAACTCTCCATGGGGATCCCTGGGTGGCGCTGCGGTTTGGCGCCTGCCTTTGGCCCAGGGCGCGATCCTGGAGACCCGGGATCGAATCCCACGTTGGGCTCCCGGTGCATGGGGCCTGCTTCTCCCTCTGCCTGTGTCTCTGCCTCTCTCTCTCTCTCTCTGTGACTCTCATAAATAAATAAGGAAAAAAAAAAAAAACCTTTAAACTCTCCATGTCTCAGGATCCTTCTTTGTGAAACGAAGTTTGCAATTGTGTCTTGATACCTTTGTGTGAGGATAAAATGCATTAGTACTCCTTAAGTACCAATTGTGCTGGCTTACTGTCTTATTATGCTGAGACATGAAGGGTATATGGGCGCTAATGAGAAAAAAATTGGAGAATTACTCCTTCCAGGCAGAAGAAATAAGATGGGGAAGGACCCGTGAACAGGAAAGAGTATCGGAAATTGGAGGAACTGAAAGTTCATTAGATCATAAGAAATTTTTAAGCCATATTAGATGTCTTTTACTTAATTCTAAAGATAATGATGAACCACAGCAGAGACACAATCCTTTTCCTTTTTAGAAATATAACTGTTCACAGTGTGGGAAATAGATTGATGGTCAGAAAGGCCAGCCACAGTAGTCTGGATAGAAGATGGTGTCAAGGGGATGAAGAGGAGAGGATAGGTTTGGTAGGCAGAATCAGTAGATCTTGATTGATCTGATATACAAGATATGATAGAAGAATGGAAGGGTCAGTTTATCATATTATTTATTATATATTGTATTTGATGTGTTTAATCACATTATAGAAATGACCACCATTAATTCAGCAACCTATGCTATACATCTGTATTAGAGTTCTCCAGAGAAGCAGAACCAATAGGAAATACACAGACATAGACACGCAGAGACAGATTTATTATAAGGAATTGGATCCTGAAGTTACAGAGATTGTCAAGTCCCCAAGATCTTCAGGATGAGTCAGTGACAGAGACCGGGAAAGCTGATGGCTTAGTTCCATTCTGAGTCCAAAGGCCTGAGAACTGGGTGATCTGATGGTACGGTTACAGTAGGAAGTAGGAAGGCCAGCAGGTTCGAGATCCAGGAAGAGCTGATGTTTCCATTTGAATCTGAAGGCAGGAAAAAAGCTGATGTTCCTGTGTGAAGGCAGTCCAGCAGGGAGAATTCTCTTACCTGAGGGAGAGTCAGCATTTTTGTTCTATTGAGACCTTCAACCGATTGGATAAAACCCACCTACATTATAGAGAGCATCTGTTTTACTCTACTGATTTAAATGTTACTTGCATCCAAAAATACTCTCACAGAAGCACTCAAAATAATGTTTGACCAAATATCTAGGCATCTCATGGTCCAGTCAAGTTTTCACATAAAGTTAACCATCACAATACCAAATTTTTATTTATTCTTTTAAAGATTTTCTTTATTTATCCATGACAGAGGGAGAGAGAGAGAGAGAGAGAGAGAGGCAGAGGGAGAGGCAGGCTCCGCGCCGGGAGCCCGACGTGGGACTCGATCCCGGGTGTCCAGGATCACACCCCAGGCTGAAGGCAGTGCTAAACTCTGAGCCACCGGGGCTGCCCTCAAACTTTTATTTCTGACTAATGATCATCACTTTCTTAGACTTTTTCACTTCTATTAAGAACAGTAGGATTTGACTTTTTAAATTTTAAGTCCATTTTTTAACGTATATTTGACATCTCATATATATAACATCTCCTATAAAACATATATCAGCTGGGAGTTACCATGTACACATACAACCAGGACTACATAGTAGCAGCAAGCAGTATTTGGACCCTAACTATTTTTTATACTGTTTTTTAAACCCAGGAGCCGAGGGGATCCCTGGGTGGCTCAGCGGTTTGGCTCCTGCCTTCCATCCAGGTGTGCAATCCTGGAGTCCTGGGATCGAGTCCCTCGTCGGGCTCCCTGCATGGAGCCTGCTCTTCCCTCCTCCTGTGTCTCTGCCTCTCTCTCTCTCTGTCTATCATGAATAAATAAATAAAATCTTTAAAAAAACAAACAAACCCAGGAGCCGATTTCACAATTCATTTAGATGAGACTAGGTATTCTAGAGGAATACCTCTTTTTATCTCTGTGAAATTGCTGTAGATGAGCTGCATTCAGGATTTATCTAAAAGTCTCCTCATTATTAGATTCATGTTAACCATTTAGTAAAAATGCTGCATAAGTGATACGGCACAAGGTCACTTGTCTCACTGTTGGTGTTGCTGGGCTTGATCATTCGATTGAGTTTGTGTCTGCCAAATATCTCCATTGTTTCCTTTGTAATTAATAAGCAATCAACATGGTGATCCTTTGAAACTGTGAGAGTGTCTTTTTGCCCAGTGGCTTCACCCATTTGTGGCACTTGATTCAATCAGTTATTTCATCAAGATGCAAAATGGTAAATTTTCAGATTTGTTATTTGTGCTCCTTCAGCTGGCAATCTTGTATAGAACAGTTTTCTCATTTTGTATGTGTGTTCTGTTTTTAGAAATGGTTGTTTCAGAGAGAAAGAAATTGATAGTAATTATTGGAAATGTATGAACCCAACAAAGGAGTACTGCTGCTGTTGTTACTACTACTGCTACCCTTTCTGTGGTTCTTTTCTTTTTTTCCATGATTTATTTATTTGAGTATGAGAGAGAGAGAGAGAAAGCACACAAGCCGGGGGAGGGGCAGAGGGAGAGAGAGAAGTAGACTCCATTGAGCAGGGAGCCCGATGCAGGGATGCAGGGCTTGTGATCTGAGCTGAAAGCAGACACTCAACTGACTGAGCCACCCAGGTGCCCCTGTTTCTGTGATTCTTGTTTTCACATTTTCAGGAGACAGTCCAAGGAAGTTTTTGAGCAGAGAGAGCAAAGGCTGACACTGGGGATGGCAACTGCACTGGTGAATGCCCATTCCCAGGCTCCTCTGAATCTGAAGAAGGGGCTTTGGACAGTGAAGGATCCCTGCTCTACTTGGGAACAGGTAGTCAAGCTGCCAGGAGATAGCACAGGCCTTGGACAAGAACCGCTGTGCAAACAGTTCAGGCAGTTGCGCTATGAAGAGACCACAGGACCCCGTGAGGCCCTCACCTGGCTCCGGGAGCTGTGTCGACGCTGGCTGCGCCCTGAGACCCGCAGCAAGGAGCAGATTCTGGAGCTGCTGGTGCTGGAGCAGTTCCTGACCATCCTGCCTCAGGAGCTCCAGGCCTGGGTGCGGGAGCAGCACCCCGAGAGCGGGGACGAGGTGGTGGCCGTGCTGGAGGACCTGGAGAGGGAGCTGGACAAGCCCCAACAGCAGGTGGTTAAGGAACAGATGTGCTCTTGTACAGAAAAGCAGGGATTAAGACCTTGGGCCAGAGAGGCGGGTGTGAGCTGAGCAGCAGACCTGTTAAGCTTTGGTTTGGTCTCTTTCCACTTTGCCTCCTCCCTGGGGTTTCTCTTTACTCTTTTCTTACATGGCAGTGTTTTCTGAGCAGTGTTCTGCTAAGCCACATGTCCCTAACCATCCCTATGTGTCTATACTTGCCCCTAGAACCCAGACCAGGCAAAGAAGCAGGAGGTGCTTGTGGAGGAGGCAGCTGCCATGGAAGCAGTGCAGGAGCCGTGGGTCCAGGCTGAGGGTGAAGTTCTGGAGCCAGAACGAGAGAAGGGTGAGAAACAGCTGTGGCTTCTGACGTGTGACAGACGGGCTTGGCGGTCCCTCCAGAGGCTTGACATTTGTGTTTGCTTTGAGTCAGGTTTATCGAGGAATAATCTACACCAGGTGGACTTCACTCTGTATGTGTCTGGGTCAGTGAGTTTTCACAAATGTGATAAAACTCAGTCATCTGATCACCACCACAGTCAAGATCTAGAAGATTCTTGTCACACTAAACATTTCCTCCCATCCTTTGCTTGATGTTTCTGTTCAGCTGATACCAGAGGCTTCTCCTGGCTGCCCTTCACCATCTTCTTCCTTTCACCGTAGCAGTCAATGAAAAAGGATTGGTGGTTTCTCACCTCAGGCAAAGAATCCTAGCCAAGTGCTCTATTACTCATTATTCTCTTGTTTCCTTCAAATTATTGTAGTATTTTTACTGTCTTTTGTTTCTAAATGTCACCTAGATTAGTTTTTTTCTATATTGTATTTGTCATTGAAATCCCTCTTTCTTGTTTCTGTTGCTTCCATTTTTTTTTTTTTTTTAAGATTTATTTGTGACAGAGAGCACAAGCGAGTGCAGGGGTGGGAGGGAGGTGTGGGGAGGGAGAGGCAGACTCCCCACTGAGCAAAGAGCCTGATGCAGGCTCCTTCCCAGGACCCCGGCATCATAACCTGAGCCAAAGGCAGACACCTCACCAACCGAGTACCCCCAGGCACTCCTTCTGTCGCTTATGTTTTTCTCCTCTCTCCAGGCTGCCAGAAGCCATGTGGCTGTCTTGTAGGCCTGCTTCTTCTTGTGTCCTTCACTGTCCTCCTGGTGCTTCTGTTGGGTCTCTTACCTCCTATTGATCCTCCATCATTTATACACAAATTCATTCATGCTGCTCCCGTCTATAAAACCCTTCAGTGAGCTGAGTAATGCTATTCTTTCTACATATATATTTTTTAATATTTGAAAAATTCCATTATAAAAAGGAAAAAAATAAAAACAAGAAAAAAACCCACGACCTGCAGAAATTCCTGACAGCGAGTAACAGAGGCCTCCCCTGAATGTTGTGTCTGCTGGCTTCTCAGCCACATATCTATAAGCATGAACTTTGTGCCAGTTTGCTTGAGATTTTTGGCCCTATCGGCTCCACATCCTGGGAAACCCTTCAGTCCCAGACAGATCAGGACAGTCAGACCTATGTCCTCGTCACGCTGTGGGTTCCCATCTTTCTGAGCTGTGTTTTGACTCCTGCTTGTTCCTTGCTGCTTCTCTCCTCTGAGCCTCTTCCTGCCATGTTTCTTCTGTCTACACTACTTTTTCCTTGCTTTCCCTGACTATTCCTACTCACCCTTCAGGATTTGTCTTAGACCTCCCTGCCTCCATCCTTCCCTAAATGCTCCTAATCTGACTGACTTCCCCACCTAGGCTCCTAGAGCTCCAAGATGTCTCCCATCAGAGAACGGATCATATCATAATATCATTGCTGGTGTATGTCTTTCTCCTGCTGGTAAAAAGCAGGGCTTTGTTTTGTTTCCTGAATCTGTCATGGCTCCTGGCCTCGAGCAGATCCTCAATAAATGTTTGATGAATGGGTCTAAAGCTTCTGTTACCTACTATCTGATTCCCCTGTTTAATTTCTGAGCCTGCTTCAAAGGTCCTCATCTTCTGGAAGCTTGCTGTGCAAAGTAGCTGAAAGAGAGGAGGCCTGCCTTTTTGTTTTTTGTTTTTTTTTTTTGTTTTGTTTTTTTTGTTTTCAGATTTTTATATGAGTTCTAGTGAGGGGGCCTGCCTTTTGTAAATAGTCTTGTAGAAATGAATTTATCCCATGTTGTCCATGATGCGCATGTATTTTCAATATGACAAATAAATGTAGTCACAGTAGATCCTTGACACTGTTCCTTGCCCCGAAAATGCTATTTTACACTCAAAGTTTAGGTTGTTTTCTGGTTTTAGAGCCACTCCTTCTTTTTAGTTGCTTATGTCATTAGATCGTTGCTGGAGAAGGATTGCTCTTCTCTTCCTTCAAGCCCGCCCTCCCTCGCCCATGGATGGCTGCAAGAGGACACACATGTGGCTTGCCCCACACAGGACTCACTGTCTCTGGAGTCTTATGGCCAGTCCTCCACTGTGACCTTTGGCGCTCATGTGCTCTCACTTTGCAGTTGATCTGCTGCTTTAATCTGGCTCACACTGATAAACTCGTACTAACTTGTCATTAATGCTACTGAGGACCTCTCTCTCCTGCTTTCTCGTGTCCTCGTTCAGGTTCCTAGCCTGGGAAGGCCTGTTCTACTTGCCCACTTGTGCCCATGTGTCTGCTCTTAGATTTTATTCAGAAGACATTTCTTATGGTCTTTTATGTACCAGACCTATGAGCAAATTATTACAGCACTGAGATGCCCTGTCCCTGTTGAGCCACACAGGGGAGCAGCTGCTGCTGTCCAAGGAGATCAGGAAAGTCCAAGACATTTTCGTGAACTTCATGTTACATCAAGGTCTTGTGGTCCAGTGGTTTTGATTTATTGGTGAGGATGCTGAGCCCAGAGGGTTTAAATTACCTGTCTTAGATTACATAGCTAATCAGTGATAAAATGGGCATTCTGTCTGCATCTCTTCATCTCCAGTGCTTTTTCTTTCTTATTGGCCTCAGGGCCATCAGTTGACTTTGCTTTTTTATACTGCGGCTGACAAACCATTTTCAAGGATGTACAGCTAAGCCCTTTGAGCCAGTTTGCTTGCAGAATGTGTGCTGCATGTCACATCATAAAATTCAAACCATTTAAGATAAGCTGCCTCCTACCACAATACCCATCCTCCCTTGAGTAGCCGCTGTTGACAAGTTCTCATGAACCATTGCTCTTATATATTTTGTGCAAACACAAGCATTCACAGCATTTCCACTTGGCACACATGGCTTGATTTAGATTTATTCCTCCCAAATGCAGATTCTCTTCCCAAAGCATCAAAAAACAAATAATTGGTGGTATATATTTAATGTTTCAGGTGAGGAGACAAGGACTGAGAATGAGAAGATGGTTGTAGAGACAGACTCTTGTGGAGAAGTGGAATCATCTAGGAAAGTATCTGAACCCTTAGAGCCTCGTTATGAGGACCCTAACTTGGAAAGGCAGCAGGTCAAGCTCAAGGCAAAGACTGAGTATAAATGCTCAGAATGTGGAAAGGGGTTCATCCGGCACTCAGACCTGATTAAGCATGAAGGTACACACATGCAAGGAAAGCTCTATGAATCTGAGGTGTGTCAGACTTCGAGTCCCACTGGACATCAGAAAATTCGCTCTAGAGAGAAAGGTCATCAGTGTCACGAGTGTGGGAAAGCCTTTCAGAGAAGTTCACACCTTGTTAGACACCAGAAAATCCATCTTGGTGAGAAGCCCTATCAGTGCAAAGAGTGTGGAAGGGTCTTTAGCCAGAATGCAGGCCTTTTGGAACACCTCAGGATCCATACTGGAGAGAAGCCTTACCTATGTATCCATTGTGGGAAGAACTTCAGGCGCAGCTCCCACCTCAACCGACACCAGAGAGTCCATAGTCAGGAGGAGCCCTGTGAGTGCAAGGAGTGTGGAAAAACCTTCAGTCAGGCCCTTTTTCTCACTCACCACCAGCGAATCCATAGCCACTCCAGAAGCCATCGCTGTAATGAGTGTGGAAAAGCCTTCAATTTGACCTCAGACCTGATTCGACATCACAGGATTCACACTGGAGAGAAGCCGTTCAAGTGTGACATATGCCAGAAAGCATTCCGACTGAACTCCCACCTGGCTCAGCATGTGCGGATCCACAATGAAGAAAAACCCTATCAGTGTAACGAATGTGGTGAAGCCTTCAGGCAGAGGTCGGGTCTTTTTCAGCATCAGAGATATCACCATAAAGACAGTCTGGCTTGATGGGGCATCATCTCCTCAAGGAATATCACAGAGGCTATGTTGACAAGCAAACAGCACTTTAGGAAGAGTCACTGCGGCCGATTCTAGCCTCAGAGAACTCTAGGGGGCTGAGCAGGAGACTTTCCACCTCCACTCGTGCTCAGCCTTTGGGCCACAATGATTTGACCCATGATGGGACTGTGAGAACCAGCTAACCAGCATGCTTCACTGCAGGACTTCTCTGAGCCTTGACCGTGGTAAACACATGACTGCGTACTTCAAGCAGCAGAGAGCCTCCTGATTGAGTTAGGGCTTTGAAGTCAGCAGTGATTCAAGTATCTATGGATTTATAGGCTCAACAGAACAAGAGGAGGTCAATATTTTTGCATCTGCTACAGAAACAACTGTAAAATAAAACTAATGATGTTTGAAAATATAGCACTTTCAAAAGTGTCTTAAAGTGCAGGTTAATGGGGGGCATTTCTTCCATGGTTTTACTAACCACCCCCTACTGGCATCTGCCTGCTCTCCCCCACCCCCAGCCAGCAGAAGCATTTTGGAAGGGAAAGAAAATTTAATTTGACCACTTCCCACCCCATTCTTGCTACAATACTTCACTGATTGAAGTTAGAAATCAAGGTTTTATTTGAAGTACAGAAGAGATTTCATAAGTCATATGAGTGAATAGTGCTGAATTAATCCAGGTAGCAACTGTCTTACTTGATAACTCCAGTGACAGGAGAGTGGCTCCTGCATAGACACTGTTTAGTAACTGGGGAAAGAAATTAGACTTTTTTCCTTTAATACTGATAACGAAATTTATTTTATTTTTTATTTATTTTTAAAAGATTTTATGTATTTATTTGAGAAAGAGAGAGCATGAGTAGGGGAAAGGCAGAGGGATAGAAGCAGACTGCTGAGCACAGAGCCCAACATGGGGCTCAATCCCAGGACTCTTGAGATTATGACCTGAGCCAAAATCAAGAGTCTGAGGTTTAGCCGACTGAGTCCCCCAGATGCCATTGAATAATGTAATTTTAAAATATTGCTTGTTCTGGAATTCTTTGGAGGTCAATAAAGTCAATTGAGAGGAGATCATGATTTTATACTGTGAATACTAAAATGTTGTAATGATGAAGAATATTGAGCTTAGGGGGGTGCACTCCTGAATCCTCATTGCTTGCTGTTTGGCAGTAGCTGCATAGGGTATTATGTCTGGAAACAGCGTCTTAGTCTGCCATGGGAATGAACACTTGTGTATTGGTGAGGATTTGGTTCAGCTACATATAGTTTAGAAACAAACTAAGAGTGACTTCACAAAAGCTTGTTTTTCTCTCAGATAGAAAAATCTGGAGACAAGCAGTCCAGGACTGATAAAGTGGTTCTGTGACACCGCTAGGGATCCTGCCTCTGCTCTTCTGCTCCATCATCCTGGTGCACACCATCAGTCCTGACATCACATGATCCTTGGTGGCTGCTGAAGCTCCAGCCATCACATGCAAAAAGACAGACGCATAAGGACAAAGAGTCCTCCAAGTTCAGCCAGCCCTCTGTGAACAGCCTCCCAGAAGTCACTTCAGCATAGATTGCAGGCCAAAACTTAGGAAAGGGAGTCTGGAGAGTGTCTTGTTCCGGTTTGCAGAGTGAATCGCTGAAAACTAAGCTTCTGTCACTAAGAAGAAAGGGGAGCATGAAGGCTGGAACAGCCACTTTGCAGTCTTTGATCCATTTCGTTCCACCTGCGTATGGCTGCGTGCAGGCTGACCAGGTGCCACAGTTAATACTGTTTCCTGGAGGAGGACCAAATCTGTAGAGGCAGAGCAACTTTTTGAGACACTAAAGAATTTCATGGAACAGTCATATTCCATTCCTTAGGGGGTCATAAAGCTGTGTTTCTTTTATTCTGCCTTGATGGATAAAATTAAGTTGGTATTGAAGATTTTCCCCCAAGTGTTTTGATGGCTGTGCTGAGGTCAGTACCTATCATTCAGCTCTGAGTCATAGTTTAAATCTGTTTGATTCTGTTCCATTTAAGAAGGAAAAAACAGAATGTCTTTATCATTCTCATGAAAAATAAATGAAAATGGCAAGAGTCAAAGTATGAAGAATGATATACCCTTCAATAACTGGAAAATTTAGCTTTCTTTGTGATGATTCTATAGTGCACACATTATAAGTGTTCTAAATTCATGGACACCTTAACTAGCCTACTCCCTCTCACAGTGCCAAAGGAAATTGTCTTCTCATCGGTACCGTGGGGGTGCACTCATAACCACTTGAACATATATGTTGGATACAGGAATATTTTAATTTTTTTTTTTGAGAGAGCATGGGGGCAGGGAGGGGTAAAGGGAGAGGGGGAAGAGAATCTCAAGCAGGCCCCACACCCAGTGCAGAGCCCAACTCAGGGTTGGATTCCAGAACCCTGAGATCATCACCTGAGCCAAAACTTAGGAGCCTGGCTCTTAACCGACAGCCAACCAGGCACCCCTGGATATAGGTATATTTTGATAATGTGCTTTTCTTCTCTATTTCTCAAAGATTATAGAAACATTGAACAAAGGGCAAATGTTATAACAGATCTTGAAGGTTTTGCTTGCAATGCAACACTTGTTAGGTGCCCTAAAAGGAAAGCTATAAGTCTATTCAGAGGATAGCAGCCCAGAAAGGATGAGCTGCATTGTGAAGTATCTTCTACTGATCAGCTTTTCTGTTGGGATAGTATCCTGTAATGTTCAAAAAATAACATTTCCTGCTCACTCCCGTTTAAAAAACTGATACAGTTATTAGTAAATGTGCTGTTAATTCATGTAGTATGGAGAAACAGGAAAGGAAAAAATAAAGCATCCTAATTTTCACCTGTCAAAAATAATCATTGTTTAGTATATGTATGTATATGCATATACACACATATATACATTCGTGTATACATGTATATATATGACAATCAAATGAATCGTGATTAGTACTGATAATTTCTGCTTAATTTTAATATATAATTGCCCATTATATTTATTATAGAAATTCATATACTTTGTAAAGACCTGAAAACATGTAAAAAAATAAATCATCCTGCTGCATGGTCTAGACATAATCTCTTAATGTATTCTGAGATACTCATCTTTTTTATGCATAGAAACACTTCACTTTTCTCACTGGACTTCATATCATTAACAGTTTTGATTTGTAAAAGAAAAGGACAATTTGCCTATCTGCCCAGTCCATTCTATCATTTCTGCCATGATCCTGAGTGGGCAACTTGCCATGTGACCCTTCTCTGACCACTGAGGATTAGACCAGGGTGGGGGACCTCTTAGCCCGGCTTGGTCATTTGGATACCCCCAGAAGTTTCATACTGGATCACAGATTCTGTTTGGTCTTTGTTAGGCATTTGAACAAGAAACTAATCTAGAGCTGGAACCATTTTTGTGGTCTTATGAAAACCAGATAGAAACAAACCAGCCCAGTGAGAAGTAAAAGAATGAAGACTCAGAGACTCTGGAGAAGTGACTCCGACCCTCCTCTCCTGAGGTCCACTATATTCCCAGTGGGTCCTGGGAGTCCAAGAAATGCCTTTGTTTCCTTGCCAGCAAATAAAAGAAATCCCTGATTAAGACACCCAGATAACTAAAAGTCTTCATTGAAGACAATTTCTTTTTTTTTTTTGAAGACAATTTCTAAGAAAGGTTGCTCAACATTCTGTGGTACATGTTTCTACCATTAGTCGTTTTAGTTTATAGTTTGTCACCATAAACAGTATTTCAGTGAACATCCTTGGACATACAGCTTTGCTCACTTTGTAGAATTTTCCTTCATTCAATTCCTGTAACTAAAATTAATGAGACAAAGAGGTAGGCACATTTTCTAAGGCTTTTTGATTCATTTTCCAGATTGCCCTCCAGAATGGTTATACTAATCTGTACCTTCTGTTAGTCTGAAAATGCCCATTTTTCCATGCCTACATCAAACCTGGGAATTATCCTTTTGCATATATGACATTCTGGTGCATACAAAATAAGTTTTTTAAGCGGTTTTTTTAAAGCGGTTTTTAAAGAATATTTTTGCTGTCAACGTTGGTCTCTTGGATGTTAATTGGTCATTTATAATTCTGATTTTGTGAACAGCCATACTTACATTTATTTCTGGATTTTTCTCTTAGATTCTTCTGCTTTTAAACAGCACTGCCCTTAAAAATAGGGGTTCTGTATATAAAATTTTAAACGCACATGCTCTTTGACAGATCGATTCTAATGTGTAGTAGTTAACTTGGGAGTTACAAGAGCATGTAAAGCTATTAAATGTTCTCTGCAGCATTACTTAGTGTATGTGTATATATATATATATATGTACGCATATACACATATATATGTGTACACGTGCACTATAAAACAGTAGGATAGTTGAGTAAACTGTGGGGCATCCATACAATGGAAAACTATTAGGCTGTTAAATAAATTCGTATGGAAAGATCTCCAAGGTAACAGAAAAGGCTGAGATGCAAATTCATGTTGTGATCCCATAAATGTTCAGTAAACAAACGTTGATTGATTGGGTGCTACTATGTGGCTGATAGTGTGCTGGGAAACCCATACAAAATATTAACAATGGTTAACTTTAGGGATGGGGCATTCTTCATTTTGTGGTCTCTATGCAAATTGAATTTTTATTGGGAATATATCACCCGCATACTTAAATTTTAGGAATTGGTGCTGCTTGCCACATTGTACTTGTTCCTTCATCGTCTAACCAGAAGCCCGAGAGGAGCCTCACAAAAGGGTCTCGGCTGTGCCATCCTGTTTCTGACGGAAAGGACTCACGGAGATGAGCGGCGCCTTCTGGTCTTCGCGACGCGCCTGCGCGGGGAGGTGGCGGCGGGGGTCCTCCCACGCACTGGAGAGAAGAGCGGCGGCGGTCCTAGAGAGGCCGGACCGCGTTCCTAGAAAAGCCCCGCTCGGCTGCCGGCGGGTCGCGCTCCGCGGCTTTGGGAACCTGTGCGGTCGGGAGAGCCGCGTCTTTGCTGAGCAACATCCTTGAGCTTTTTCCGTCGCCGAATAGCAGGAGGACGTGCTCGTATCCGGCGCCTGCGGGGTGCCTCGGGGTGCGTGGGAGGCGCAGGTGCCCCTCCGTGACTTGGACAGCCATGCTGCCTGGACACCAGGTGCGGGCGGGCTCGCTGGGGCTGTGGGCACCGGGCCTCTGCCCCTGGGGTGGGGGTGGGGGTGGGCGCGGGGGGCGGGCGGCGGGCGGCGAGAGCCGAGAGGGACCCGGTGGGTGCTGAGGGTCGGGCTCGCTCTCCCACGAATAGTCTGGAGGACAAAGGAGATTCCTTCGTCCGGACATGAGATGTAGGGTGAACGTGAGTTGTAGGATGGCGTATGCACTGTGACTTGGGAAATGTGCCTTCCTAGAAGGGCAGTCCTGGCCGTGGAGGACAAGGTGGCTAGGAACAACCTGAGCAGTCAGCATGGCAGTGACTTGAGTTTGCGAAGACCATGGCTTTCCAGGAGGTAGAGACTGTGTCTTTTATTCCGGGATTAGCGTTTTGCCAGGAAAAACGTGCTCAATGTTTACCGAATGGCAGACAAACCAGTAAAAACCCCGCGAAGGTCAGATCCTGGGGAGTTTGAATCCAGTTCACCAAGGAGCAGTTTAAATGAGATGAGCGGCGCGTTCTGGTCTTCGCGACGCGCCTGCGCGGGGAGGTGGCGGCGGGGGCCCTCCCACGCCCTGGGGAGAAGAGCGGCGGCGGTCCTGGAGAGGCCGGACGGGCCCTCCCACGCCCTGGGGAGAAGAGCGGCGGCGGTCCTGGAGAGGCCGGACGGGCCCTCCCACGCCCTGGGGAGAAGAGCGGCGGCGGTCCTGGAGAGGCCGGACCGCGTTCCTAGAAAAGCCCCGCTCGGCTGCCGGCGGGTCGGCCTCCGCGGCGTTTTAGTGGGGCAGATGTGTTGAACGTGGTCCGAATGGTGCTTTAGGAAATACTAACCCAGTGATGGCAGAGTGAACTGTGAGACAGGGATACCATACAGAACATTATTGTAGTCGTGACTGTAAGTCAATGTAATAGGAGAATGAAAGGGGAGGGAATGGCAGCACGAGGTGTTTCCGAGGAAGGATCGGCTGGACTCAATGTGTAGAGACTGGTTTTCAGCCTGGGGGGATGGTGGTGATGCCAATGGAATGGGGAGAGCAGTGAGTACAGCTTTGAGGGACTTGGATTTCAGTTTGGGATGTGTTGAAATTATGACCAGGAGAAGCTGGAAACTGGAAGGCATCCTACTGGCATTTTAAGATCTGAGTCAGGAATGTAAAGGTTAGCTGGAGTCAGCCAGATTTGAGTGTTCTTGGAATAGAGATATACTGAATATACTGTGATTAATGAGAACACAAAAGGAGATAGTAAGGAGGGAGAGAAAAAGAACATGAAGCATGTATTTCAATTACCTATTCTTACATTAAAAATGTAATAAATTGAAACCCCAAACTTAGTGCTGTAAAACATATTGAAATTATTTTTCATGATTCTGTTGGTTGACTGAGGATTTCTACTGCTGGAGTTACCTACGGTTGCTATCAGCTGGGAGTTAGATGCTGCTGGATTTCAGTTGGGCCACCTGGATTCCAATCCACATGACCTCTGCATGGCCAGCTTGGGCTTTCTCACAGCATGGCAGGCTCATAGCAGTGTTCACTTCCTCTTGCAGAGCCATTTCTGCCATATTTTCTTGGCTAAAGCAAGTCATAGGCCAGCACAGATTCAAGGGAAGGAGAAATAGACTCCACGCCTTGATGAAAGGAGTGATGAAATCTCATCATAAGAACTTTTAGGGGACAGGAGACTGGAAACCTTCCCTGCTTTTAAGGTGGAATATTCTGTGAGAAGTACACAGGTGAAAGAGTATGTTATAGCTCTGCACTGAATACAGTTTTTTCTCTCCAGCTGAAGTGTAGGCTGCTCAGGCATTCTTACTGTTAACCCTGTTTCCCTCACATCCTTTACTTACATCCATCACCTCCTGGCTCAACCCCTTTAGGATTCAAGATATATTTCTGATTAATCTCACTGGTAACATAGGCAAGCCCGCTCTGAGTGAGACGTACAATAGGAACAAAAGTACAATAGGAACAAAAAAAGGTTTCATAGAATTTTGAAGCTCTTGTAACTTACATGTTACTATCCATTCTTATTCCTTAGATGTACATTTGGAAAAACATTTCTGAAGTGCAAACGTGGGCTAAATGAGCCTTTTCCTTGAAGCCTTAAAGCTCAGCATGGATGAAGCTTTGCCAGGCCCCACCTCTGAAAATGGAGACAGCCTTGTGAAAGTGAAGGAGGAAGACCCCACCTGGGAGCAGATGTGCAGCTTCCAGGAGAGCAGCTGCGACACTCGGGAACTTTGCCGCCTGCGCTTCCGGCAGTTCTGCTACCAGGAGGTAACAGGACCCCGAGAGGCTCTGGCCCAACTCCAAGAACTTTGCCATCAGTGGCTGCGGCCTGAGACCCACAGCAAGGAGGAGATCCTGGAGCTGCTTGTGTTGGAGCAGTTCCTGACCATCCTGCCCAAAGAGCTCCAGGCCCGGGTGCAGGCCTGTCATCTGGAGAGCAGGAAGGATTTCGTGACTATGCTGGAGAATCTACAGAAAGACACAGGAGACCCAGGACAGCAGGTTGGGGAACATTTGTCCGTTAATTTTTAAGTTACTATTTTTAAACAATTTATAACTTACAGAAGTATCTTATAGAGAACTCTTGTATCCTCTTCACCCAGATTCACTAGTTGTAACCATTGTATCCTGATGTGCCCCCTCTGAGGAACAAGGGCATTCTTTTGTATAACCAGAATACAAAGATTTCAATTTAGGAAATTAAAATTGTTATGATACTATCATATACACAGTGGTCCTTGTTCACATTTTGCCGTATCATCCCGTATCATCCCAGCAGTGTTTTTATGCCAATTTTACCCTGATCCAGGATACAGTCCAGCCTCACATGTTGCATTTTAGTTGCCTCTTCTTTAGTTTCCTTGAATCTGGAACAGTTCTTGGTCTTTCTTTGTCTGTCATAAGATTGATATTTTTGAAGAATACAAAACCAGTTTTTTTACAGAATGCCCATAAATTTGGGTTTGTCTTTATTTTGTCATGATAAATGCATAACATCAGGAGGCACATGGTGATGGGTTGTCCTGTTACTGATGAGGTTAAGGTGGTATCTCTTGGATTTCTGTATTATAAAGATACTGTTTTCCCTTTGTAATTAACAAGTAATTCTTGGGAGATGTTTTGAGATAGTGTAACACACCCTGGTCCTCATTAAAGTCCCATCCACTAGTGTAAGCATCCACTTGGGTTTGTTCTGTTTTCTGGGCAGGGATTCTTTGCCTTGTTTCTTGTTTGCCACGATATCCTCAGAATGTAGCACAAAGTCTGAGTCTTAGTAGGTGTGCAGTCCTTGTTTATCAAATGGATGAATTTCTCTGTGTTGCTCCTCTGTCTTACTTGCTGCTTCTCTCAAAGATTAAATGGGGCTCGTCCGGTGTTCCCTGGGAGTTGTCCCTAACTGCTGTTCAGTCTGGGTCCTATCAGGGTGCCTTTTCAAGGTATTCTAATCTTTTGTCTCTAGGCGTCTATCTATACTCAGGGACAGGGCCTGTACCCACTGGTGACAGAATATCAAAGAGCCTCTTTGGAGTGTAAGAGTCTCCAGCTCCTGCCCAGGAAACCCCCCTTGAAGTGTGAACTTCCTGAACTCTGCCAAGAAAACCCTGAAGAAGTAAGTGGTCAGCGCCAGTCGGTGTTTAGTGTGGATGTTGGGAGCAGACTCTGACTGGTGTTTGTTTATCTGTGTCCTCGAGTTTTTATATATATATTTTAGTCTAACCCTGTATCTAAGCAAGCTTCTAAGGACATTTGGAATTGTAAAATGTTGGAATCCTAAAATCTTCTTGTCCGATACCCTTCCCAATAGTTGGGAAAACCAAACTCAGGTTGTTTAATGAGTTGTCCAGGTTCAACAGACATAGCAACGTCCAGAATTCATTTCACCTGACCTTCTGGCCGGAAGTGTCTCTGCTATATACCTCTGCTCTACATATCTAATTCTATACCTGTTTGGATGGTAGCCTTCCACAGATTTACCTTTTTCCCCTTAGTAACATTTCTTCAGTATCCTCCCTGCCTCTAATCTTGGACCATTTTATTTTATTTATTTTTTTAAGTTTTATTTATTCATGAGAGGGGGGTGGCAGAGATACAGGCAGAGGGAGAATCAGGCTCCATGCCGGGAGCCTGACGTGGGACGCGATCCAGGGTCTCCAGGATTGCGCCCTGGGCCAAAGACAGGCGCCAAACCGCTGAGCCACCCAGGGATCCCCTCTTGGACCATTTTAAGTGCAGCTTTGGGCTTAAGCAGGTTCTCTCTTTTCTGTTTCGAGTGCAGTCTCCTATGTGCAGAGCTCCCCCACTTTCCATCTCCAGTCTTTACCTCCAGGTAAACCACCCCTGCTGGTGGTTATTGGTTATTGTTCAGCTCTGTGCGGGCCTCTGGCAATGGGATAAGCCATGCAGTGAATACAAAATCTGTGGTCTGCAGATGGATTGAGAACAGAAAAAGTACACAGAAAGTTCAAAGAGAAGAACTTAGAACTCCAAAGTGTGGTGTTTTTTAACCTCTGGTGAGAGGTGCTACAGGTTTTTCCCCAGAAGTTGTTGAAAACTTGACTCTTTTCCCTGGAAAATGTGGGTACATTCAAAATTATGTGTATGATTTCAGAGGGTTCATGATATACCCCAGTCATTCATGGTTTATCAGTTACCACATTGGTAATCTGTGAATATTGTTATTTTGACAATAAGTGGAGAATAAATGATTCATGTAATAAAATCACTAGAGTGAGATAAAATATATAGGGCTTGCATTACTTATGGTGTTTACCCATATAATGTAGCATAAATAGGACTTGATATTTCCCTACTGACATGGCTAATGGTTCTATCATATTTCTTCAGCTATGAAAAGCCAGCATTACATAAAGCCCCAGAATTGTTTATGTGAAGAAGTTGAGAGGAGGTAGGGAGCCCCACAGTAGGCAGACATTCCTACTTACCTATGAGATGATGAGCACCCATCTGCTCCAAGTGATTTCATTTCATTTCGACTGGAGATGGGAAAGAGGTAATGAATGGAGGTAGGCAGTTGTCAGAATGGTGAGGATGATAATTGACTAAAAGATAGCAGTGGTCATAAGACGTAAGATTCTCTCATGTTAAGTGAAGGCTTAAAAGCTGTGTGAGATGGGGATCCCTGGGTGGCGCAGCGGTTTGGCGCCTGCCTTTGGCCCAGGGCACGATCCTGGAGACCCGGGATCGAATCCCATGTCGGGCTCCCGGTGCATGGAGCCTGCTTCTCCCTCTGCCTGTGTCTCTGCCAGAGTCTCTCTCTCTCTCTCTCTCTCTCTCTCTCTCTCTCTCTCTCTGGGACTATCATAAATAAATTTAAAAAAAATAAAAATTAAAAAAAAAAAAAAAAAGCTGTGTGAGATGGCTCACAGAACTGGACCCCAGTGACATTCTGGGCAGAGTGATGGCCTCTTGTGGTTTTCTGTGTCCTCACAGGGAGGCACCACTGCTGTGAAGTGTGTGAACAGGATGAGAATGCTCTCTGGGCCCTCAGGAAGCAGGTCTTGTCATTTTCAAGGGCTTAAAAAAAAAAAAAAGTATATCCTTTTAGCTAGGATTTAGACCTTTAGACTCTAGCTAAAGATCTACCTACCACTTACAATCTCAGCACATTTATCCAGGTTACCTGAGACCACATGAACTAAAGACCAGTTTCCCAGGCTATTGGTATCCCTCCTATGCTGGTATTTTTAAGGAATAGCAAGTCAACCAGCATGGCTAAAGAGTAAGGTTTGTTTGGCGAAGAGTGTGGGAAGAAATAGGGAGATTACGTGGAAACATCTTGCAGGGTTGTTAAAGTTTGGACTCTTGCTAAAAAGTTGGGTGCTGGGGCAGCCTGGTGGCTCACCCGGTTTAGCTCAGGGTGTGATCCTGAAGACCCAGGGTGGAGTCCCACATCAGGCTCCCTGCATGGGGCCTGCTTCTCCCTCTGCCTGTGTCTCTGCCCCTCTCTCTCTGTGTCTCTCATGAATAAATAAATAAAATCTTAAAAAAAAAAAAAAGTTGGGTGCTGGATGCCTGGGTGGCTCAGTTGGTTGAGTGTCTTCTTTTGGTTCAGGCCATGATCTCAGGCCTCTGCTGAGCCTGTGTCAGGCTCACTGCTCAGCAGGCAGTCTGCATCTCTCCACCCGCAACACCCCACCTTATGCTTTCTCTCTCTCTCCCTCTCAAAAAAAAAAAAAAAAAAAAAAACTTAAAAAAGTTGGGTGGGGTACCTGGGTGGCTCAGTCAGTTGAGCAGCAGGTGACCTTCAGCTCACGTCATGATCCTGGGGTCCTGGGATTGAGCCCAAGTCAGGCTCCCTGCTCCGTGAAGAGTCTGCTTCTCCCTCTGTTCATACTCTCACTCTCTCTCTTTCTCAAATAAATAAATAAAATCTTAAAAAAAAAATAGTTGGGTGCCATTGAAGCCTTATTTTTTAATCAAAAATAGGATTTACAACAGTTATAGCATGTGTGTGCACATGCACACATTTGGGTGTGTTTGTGGAGGGGCATTCTTACCTGTCATAGAACACTAGATTTAAATGAAAACTCTTGAGAACTTTATTTTTCCCAGTTCCTTATTGCTCGGTTTTGATAGAATTTTATTGTCAGACACATTGTTGAGTGTTTGGATATGCTGATGGAGAAGTAGAAGGGACCTTAAGATATCATCTGAATTGCAACATAACCCTGTATTCAGTACTCCTGTTGTGTCTTTGAGATGTAGAGCAGTAGATCAGTGTGGTGTTTGTAATGAACTTTCCTATATGTGAAAACATTCTTCTGCCTCTTTCTCAGGCTTAACCTTAATGCTCTTCCACCTCAGGAAGATGATAAGCAGACACAAAGTCTGATCTGACCTTTGCAGTCTCACATCTTCCACTGTGTTTGCTCTTTCCTTGCATTTTATCTTTTCCTGCTTCCTTTTTCTGTCCCATCTTCCCCATTCTCAACTCAGCCCTTTCTCTGTCAGCAGGTCTGTTTTACATTGTAATTTTTCAAGTGAGAGGTTTGGCATGTATGTGTTCTGGGAGAGGTCAGGCAGTAATAGTTAATCAGGGACAAGTCTCTTTTTCCAGCAAACTCTGGTTTCTCTAGATCCCAAATAACAGAAACAAAAAAGTTCTATGAGGATCCATTGTGTCTGGAGAAAAAAAAAAAGTGATGCCATAGTCTTGGATATATTTTGTGTTAGAATGATCAAATCCTCTTCATTTTAGTAATTTTCTGTATCTTGTATTAAGCCAATCTTAAAATATAATAATACATTACCTCATGGGGGGTCTTGCAGTTTATAGAGGGCTTTTGTGTTCATTATCTCATTGGATCTTCATGAACTCTGTAAAGGGACTATGTTCTCCCCATTGCACAGATAAGGAATTGGAAGCTTAGCAAGACTGGCAGGCCCAAGATCACACAGCTGCACCTGTAAGTCAGTTCTTTATATTTTCTTTTAATTCCAATGTAGTTAACATTACTGTATTCTATTAGTTTGAGGTATATAATAGTGATTCAGCAGTTTCCTATATTGAACACTGAGTCAGTGTTCACCAAGATAAGTGTACTTTTAATCCTGTTCACCTATTTCACCCATCACCCCCAATCCACTTCCCCTCTACTAACCATCTATCTGTTCTATGTAGTTAAGAGTCTGTTTTGGTTTGTCTCAGATTTCCCTTTTGTTTTTAAAATTCTACATATAAGTGGAATCATATGGTGTTTGTCTTTCTCTTATTTCACTTAGCATTATACATGTTGTTGCAAATGGCAAGATTTCATCCTTTCCATGGCTGAGTGATACTACATTGTGCGTGTGTGTCTACCACATCTTTATCCAGTCATCTATCACTGGACACTTGGACTGTTTCCTTGGTTGGCTATTATAAATAATACTACTATAAACACAGGGGTACATATATCCTTTCAAGTCCGTGTTTTCACTTTCTTTGGGTAAATAATAGCGCGATTGCTGAATCATATGGTAATTCTTTTTTTTTTTTTTTTTGAGGAACAGCCATACTATTTTTTTTTTATTTTTTTTTTAAATTTTTTAAAAATTTTTATTTATTTATGATAGTCACACAGAATGAGAGAGAGAGAGGCAGAGACACAGGCAGAGGGAGAAGCAGGCTCCATGCACCGGGAGCCCGACGTGGGATTCGATCCCGGGTCTCCAGGATCGTGCCCTGGGCCAAAGGCAGGCGCTAAACCGCTGTGCCACCCAGGGATCCCGCCATACTATTTTTCATAGTAGCTGCATCAGTTTGCATCTCCACCAACAGTGTAGGAAGATTCCTTTTTCTCCACATCCTTACCAATACTTGTTTCTTGTGTTTTTAAGTTTAGCTATTCTGACAGATCTGAGGTGATATGTCATTGAGGTTTTGATGTGTTTTTCCCTGATGATAAGTGATGTTGAGCATCTTTTTGTGTGCCTGTTGGCCATGTGTAAATGTCTGTTCGTGTTTTCTACCCATTTTTAAAATTGAATTATTTGTTAGTGTTGAGCTACATAAGTTCTTTATATATTTTGGATATTAATCCTTTATCAGATATGCCATTTACAAATGTGTTCTCCCATTCAGTAGGTTGTTTTTTAGTTGACTGTTTC